TGGAGAAAGAGTTAGTTAGAGAGAGGGCATGGGTTCATCAATCCAACAACAAACCACTATAACCATGACGAAAAGCGAGCCGACACGTCCATTCGGAATCATGATTAAGATCGGCAGCTCTGCCCACACTAAATGGCCATTATCTTTCTATTCAATCTCAATTTCACCCCAACCTCGAATTAAAAATACTCCCCCACTTTTCAGGCTTGCTACGCTAATCACGGGTAGCAACGGGTCGGGTCTGCGTTGGACCCTACCCGATTTCCAAATAAATGATGGTATCCAAACCTGGATCTGATCCCGATCGGATGTCGACTTGGATTGGACCCAACCCTAAAAATAAAATATATTTAAATACTATATTAGATATATACAAATATTATTAAAATATCAAATATATTAAGTATTAACACTATTTGGGTTGGGTCTTCATGGACCCGGACCCTGACTCGGACCTGGACTTGGACCTGAATAGTGTTCAGGTCCAAGATTTGGACCTAGACCTCACCTGTCGAGTCCAAGTTTTTTACCCATACTCAGACTGGGATCGGGTATGTGTCCATTACCACCTCGAACACTAATACTTCCCTAGAGTTTTTAAACTCAGCAATTTCTGACTCTGATTTTCGATTCAAATTCTGAGGAGCCTGAATTAGTTCTGGGCTGGTATAGGTTATAGCCTAGTCCCTCTCTTAAACCCCCACTATATATATATTTTATTTTTTTGGATTTATCTAAATCCCTACCCTATATATTTTTATTTTAATTATAATTTTATTTTTTTATTAGTTAATAGCTTTTTAGATAACTGATTTTAACAAATACAGACCTAACGATCTAACGTAGATCAAGGGGTAAACAATCTACCCCAATAATTCGAATGCAAAACAACCTCCTCCTTTTAAAACTATAAAGATCCTAAAAAAGAATCGCACCTCCCTTATAAATGAGAACCTCCCTATAAATATACGCTTTGCAAGAGGATTTGGTGCTTCTTTATATACCGTCCTATTGTCGCTTCCTCTAAACGGGAGATGCTTGGCTTAGGAGGTGGAGAGAGATTCCTTTCAACAAAAAGCTAAAACAGTTATGTTTGTTTTTTTTTTTTTTTGGGTGAGTCAATAGGGGAGAGGCCCTTATCTCTCTCGGTTTTGTTTTATTTTTGGGTGAGTAAATAAGGGAGTAGCTCCTATCTTGATAGTAATTGAGCCTAGGACGTAGTGTTGCAAAGTGCTAATCAATGAAGCCTAGGCTCTTTTTCTGTTCCGTTAGTTTTATTTTGTTAAGCAAAACGATGAAAACAATTACTCAATTCTCCTTTTACTTGAATGCTACCATATTTAACTACAGAAAATGGTTTGATATAACTCTAATAACAATTATCAACACCGACAATAAAATTTAAAACTCAAACATTATATATTATTTTTAGAATTTGAAATACTAATTTTTTTTCACAACCATAATGTTCAAATCGAGATGATCAATGTAAATGTTTTTCAATGCTTGAATTGCAATTTCGATGAGTTATGATGTAGGTCGGGTCGGGTCGTTAGGTCATGAGTCGGGTCCGAATCCATTGCTACCATATGAAGTGAGGATGTACTTAGAGCCATTATAGTCACGAAAGTACTTTCCAGATGAGGATTTGAAGTGAGAGTTTATTTTGATTTCATAAAACCTAGGCCTCATAAAAACCTCATCCTATGACGAATGAGAGTACTTCGGTATTTATTTTCTTACAGGAACTTCACTAATAAATCCTACTAAATACTGAGTAATTGCTTATATATAACTGGTCGGTGTCATGTACTAAACCCCATCGGAGATGTACCAAAAAAAATTAAAAAAAGTAGGAAAATAAGCAAAAACAAAAACTTCATACGGTCACTAAAAACTAAGCCGAATCAATATGGTCGGTGATGAAGAGTTAGTGATTCTAGTTCAATAAGATTCTGAATTATGGCATTCTTCGATTTAAAACTTTTCTTGCCATTTATCGACTTACTTGGGAAGCACTTGATGGGTCAATTTTGAAATCAGGGTTTTAAAAAATACCAATCTAAATCATAGTCACCTCTTAATATGGATCCGAATCGATGCAACTGGTTTGGTTCCTAATATATATTGGGAACCGGTTGGTTCCTACAACAACTTATTAGTGAAAGCTCATTGACATAACTACCAAGTTATGTCAAGGAACTAGCTGATTTGGCCCCACTTTTTATTTTTGTTGTTTTTTTAAACTTTTTATTTTGGAAAATTGTTTCATGAGACAGTGGGTACAAGAGCCGGCCGACTCTTCAACATCCATTTTTAAGATAGACAATGTGTAAAATTTATGGGGTCAAATCAAATACGGACAAGGTTAAAAAAAATCCCCCAAAAAAGGTATATTTAAAAATTTAATTTAATTTTTTTCAAATTTATGATCAGCTGGGATTAGATGATGAATCCTTAAAATTTTAAATCAAAATCCATTTTTAAGAGAAATTTTCAAGGGTAGCCACACGTGTACATATGAGCCATACCACCGATTTGCTAATCCACACCGAATTTTTAAATGGGAATCCGGATCACCCCATGTGTTTTTTTTAGACATTGCTTGAAACGCTCGCTTACAGCATTTAAAATTAGTTGCTACAGTAGGTAAGGTAGATTTTTTTGCAAACGTTTTGTATACATAAGCAGGTCCACAAGGGTACAGTGGTTATTTTAAAATTATGGGGAGTAATTTGGTGGGTTAAAGAAAGTTTGGGGTAAATCTGGTAATTTTGATCCTAAGTCTCGCCTTGGCTAACAAGCCACGTTCCGCTGGGCCCTGACACGTGGTTGGGCTCTTTGCGTGAGGAGCGGGGATCCTCCCGCCAACAGCTTCGTGTCCGACGTGGTATCCTACGTGGATACTGGGCGGGCGGCAACCGTCCCGGCTTTTGATGGCTGGACACGTGTCTGTTGGCGTGGTCCTGAACTCCGTGGTGGTTGACCTGGGTTGGGAATAGCTGGCAACTAGTAGTAGGTCAGCGCCAGAAGAAGAGAGAGAAAGGTGACCTCTCTCTCTCTAAAAAAACGTGACCCTCTCTCTAAAAGAGTAGAAAGGGTGTTCCATCTTTCTCTCTCTTAAAAAAATAAAGATGATGCCTTTATTTTTCTCTCTAAAATAAAAGAGAGAGAAAGAGTGACGCTCTCTAATTTTTTATTTCATTTATTTTGCGTTGAGATCGTCCGTTTTATTTGTAGAAATGAATTCAAATTTTTAATAAAAACAGGGTGTTGTGGACCGAATCGCCCCCATCCCCTTTGTCTCTCTCTCTCTAAAAATTTCTCGCACTAAACGCATCAATCTTCTCCTAAATTGGTCAAAAACCCTTTTTTTTATGAATAAAATCTTTCATTTTCTTTTGGAAAAGTATTTGGCGCTCATTTATTGTGCCATCTCCTACATAAATATATCTGAAAGATGTATCTTCGATATAAGATTTGAGGGTTGGATAATCTCAACCACGATTGACTTAAACTTGAAAATTTCCTTTCTTATAAAATATAAACATTATTTTTTATTTCCACCCACTCTTAGCCGATCTATCATTTTTAGACATATATCTTAGAGATGAACGTTTGATAGACAAGAAACAAACCGCATGGTAATAGGAGAGTCGGTTGACTCACCTCCCTTCCATTTAGATGCCAGTTTTTTTATTTTTTTTTGTGTTTGTGTTGATGAAAAATGATATACTTACAAAATGAGCAATTAAGCAAAAGAAAAATTGAGAGTAAGATGGAGAAAGATAAAAGAAGAAATAGTAATTAAGAGCAAAATTTAAAGGATCCACACTCTAGACAGGGAATCAGCAACTGAATTTGTTTGTGTAGGAAAGGGGCCGAGTTATGGTGGTAGCACCTCAATACTTAGTTACTCCAGTGTGGTTTTCAATCCGGCCAACACCGCCCATTAATACAATCAAAATAAAGCTAATCTATATGAAAAAACAAGTAGGCACCATTCTTTTCCACTGAATTAGCAAAAAAAAAAAAAAATTTACGTGATTGAATGAGCAATAATGAAAGCATTCATACACTATAATTTGTCTTAAAAACGTACATTAAATTTTATTTTGAAAGGCTCTTTGCGTCTTATCTCTCTCTTAAATGAGAGAGAAAGCAAAGTCCTCTTTCTCTCTAACTCTTTCCTTTCTCTCTTGAAGAATTCCCTCTTTCTCTCTCTAGAGTTTAGATACGTCAAATGAACACAAACACCAAATACGCGACAAAGCAGTACAATACGCGAATAATCATTGTAGGAATTCGATCGAGTATTTTCCAACTCTAATAAAAGCACTTTTTGGTGTTCGTCCTTCTTAATTAAAGACTTCTCTCACATTTATCCATTGGTAGGAATCACGCCAACAAAACGCCAAACTATGCTCAAAAAAAGTATCGACATAGGTCTGTGTAAGCTGTCCATTTGAGGTGCACCTTTAAATTTTGCCTAAATATGTAGTTTTGGTTTAGTGGAAATCCTTATAAACTTAAATTTCATGTTCGATCCTACTTATAAAATTTAAAGTTAAAAAAACGATACAGATCTAACAGATATATAAATAGTTGAAATTTATATAAATAGTTAAATTTCAACTATTTAAAGAACATGAGTAGGATCGAAGTCCATATGATCAATTGAAAGTTCTTTAAATATAGTACCCTTCGGTACCGAATTTTCAAGTTGCATTTTACTCCTGCACCTAAAAGTTGCCACCATATAGTAAATTATTTTGCTTTATTAGCATATAAACACCTCCAAAGGGTATTTCAGATATTCTACGCCATACAAAAGTCGATTGCGGTCATTGTCCGTGACAAGGGCTCCTTTGGGTTAGAATTGAAAGAAAGGCCGCCAAACCCGCGAGACCCTTGTCAGATATTAACGGCGAGGAAGGAGGGTATTTCCGTCATTCTCATCTTTAAAAGGCTCGCCTGAGGTGCACCGGTTAAACGAAGTCCGGCTTTTGGGAGAGAAGGGCCAAGTCCAGCTGTGAGGAGCCCAAGGGGCGAGAAACCCGCAGTGATTTCTAGAGAGAGAAAGAGAGGGCAACTCTGTAGAGAGAGAAACACTCTTGCAAACGCTGAGGGCGATGGCTCCAATGGTGATCCTTACCCAGAAGAAGAGCCTGGTCTGGCATTGCTTCTGTCGAGGGATATAAGAGCCAGCTTGCTTTCATTTTCCTTCTCATCTCTCTTCATTTGGGGTTTAGAGGGCTTGGATTGAAGTGTTTCTGCAATTTTTTTGGAAGAACTAGGGTTCGATTTAGCGTTTTGGTCTTTCTGAGCCTGCAAATGAAAATGGACTGGTCTTCTACTTTGGACGAATACGAAAAGCTCGTCATAAGAATGGACACTCCTAGGTGAGTTTTTTCTTTCCCAGAGATTTTTCAGGTTTTTTTTTGGGGAATTTGGGGACTGTAATTTGTGTGATTTGTTTGAGTTTCCTTTCTCTCTTTGGTAGAGTTAATAGGGCTCTGAGTTTTGAGTTTCAGAGAATTTTATAAGGATTTTTGAACTCCTTGCTCAGTTAATTTCTGTTCCTTTTTCGGTTATGTGTTTTGATTTGGAGCTTTGAACATTTGTTTGTGTGTTGTTTAGGGTTGTGATAGACAATGCCGTGTGCGCGACTGCAACTCTCGTGAAGGTAAGAGAGAGAAGAACCTCTTCTGATTTCATCTCGACGGTGCTCTTTACTTCTCTCTCTGTCTCTTAATTGCTGATGTGCTCTGTTTTGGTATTTGCAGGTAGATAGCGCGAGAAAACACGGGGTTCTTTTAGAGGCAGTTCAGGTCTTGGCAGATCTGGACCTTTGCGTAAACAAGGCATACATTTCCTCAGACGGCAGATGGTTCATGGACGGTACTCTTCTCTCTCTTTCCATTTGTGTCTTTCTCTCTTATCAGAATTAATTTCTCCTCTCCTTTTCTGCAAATTCGTCTATTTCTTGGTTTGAAGTTCACATTTCTTCTCACTCTAGGATACGGCATCTAATACTGTGTTTAAACTGTAACCCCTCTCTCTCTCTCTATATCCTATTTGCAAGCTGTAATAGTAATGTTTTAAGAGTGATTTCCATTCGTTTCTCCCTCATCCCCTGTTATTTGCCCACTGCAGTCTTCCATGTGACCGACCAAAACGGCAACAAGCTAACTGACGAGAGCGTTATCCGCTGCATTGAACAGGTAACCACCACAAAACGCCCCCCCTTTTCCCCTCTCACTAACGTCTCTCTCTCTCTGTGTCTCTCCAAATCATCACACTAGAGACTCCCTAATCATCCCTCTTTCACGCCCTCTAACAGTCACATTGATCTCGCACTTTCTCTCTCTAAAATCACCAATCTCTCTCTCTCTCTATGCCTGCCACTCTCTCTCACACCCCAAATGTTCGAACCAAACTCTCTCTTTCCCAAACCATCAAAGCAATCCATACCAACCTCTCCAAACCCCAAAACATCACTCTAACACATCTCTCTCTTCAGTCTCTGGGAACAGGGTACCGTTCTCTGGGCGCCTCCCAAACCCACCTCCCAGGCGTGACGGCCCTGGAGCTAACCGGCACCGACCGACCCGGTCTCCTGTCTGAAGTCTTTGCGGTCCTCTCTGACCAGCGCTGCAACGTCGTTGAGGCCAAGGTCTGGACGCACAACGCTCGAATTGCCTCCCTGATCTATATCAACGACATAGACTCGGGCTCTCCACTTGACGACGATTCGGACAGAGTATCTCGGATCGAGGACCGGCTCCGCAATGTTTTGAAAGGCGACAACGATGTGAGGAGTGCGAAGACTGTGGTTGCCCTTGGCGTGACTCACACGGAGAGGAGATTGCATCAGTTGATGTTTGCCGACCGGGACTATGAGAGGAAAGTGGGTTCAAGCTGGGGAGAGACGGGCTCGAGCCATGGCTTGGAGGCAGGTCCGTTGGTCACGGTGCAGGGGTGCGCCGAGAGGGGCTACTCAGTCGTCAATGTGCAGTGTCGAGATCGGCCGAAGCTCTTGTTCGACATTGTTTGCACTTTGACGGACATGGATTATGTGGTGTTTCATGGCACGGTTGGTACCAGAGGGGATGAGGCTTTCCAGGTAATTTTTTGATTTTCTTTTTTGTGGATCTAGTGAAGTTTTCTACAATTTTGTCGGGTTTTACTCTTTTTTTTTTTTTTGCTGCAATTTTGGGAATTTTCCCCAATTTTTTCAGAATGATATCTTTGGCATTTTTCTGTATTTTTTTCGTTTATAATTTTTTTTCTGCGTATTTTTATCAATCTTTCTGTTTTCTTCTCGTTATTTTTCTAAAAAATTTGTGGCTTTAACATAGTTTTTTGTGCATTTTTGTTGCAATCTGTGGGTTTATCCATAAGTCTTTATTTTAAATTTTGTTGCTATTTGAGCTGTATAATCGTTTTGGCCTTAATCTGAACATGTCTATACTGTCAGTTTTCCTTGCAATTCATTAGGTATTTCTCCCCATTCTTTTGCATGTTATGCTGCAATTTTTAGTTTGTTGTCTCTTCCCATTCTTTTGTTGGAAATTATGGTGGTTCATTAATTAATTATGAAGTGTGATTGTTATGTGCAGGAGTTTTACATAAGGCACACTGACGGGTGCCCAGTCAGTTCCGAGGCGGAGAGGCAGCGTGTGATTCAATGCCTCCAGGCGTCCATTGAGAGGCGAGCCTCCAAGGTCGTATTCAATTCTTCCGCGTTCCATGACCCCCCCCTTCCTTTTGAGGCTTTCACACATATCCCGTCCCTTACTGTAAACGAGCAGAAAATCAAACACGTTGTGCCAAAATTTTCCAAGTTCTTCCAACATCTTCTTCTACTGCAGATTGATTCTTTTCTTTCTTTGAATGGAACCGTTCCTTCGAAATAAAAATATTTATAAATTCGAACTTCAAAGCTGGGTAGTGAGTCCTTTTGACTGGATCATCACATCACATGCTCGCCGCTGTTTCCCAACACCCCCATGTGTCTACAACTTCTGAGAGAGTAGAAAACAAATATTCCCTCTTCACAACTACCCGCGCAATCTCGTGAAATTTCAAAACCGCGCCTCCCTGCGCACATGCCCTTTCTTGTAAAACAAAAAAAAAATACCCGAGAAAATCCCATCATTCCCAACAGCGACATTCCTCCAATCAATTTCCTGGATTTCAACTCACAAATCTTTGCCTTTTCCTGGCACATCCAAGTCGTTCAACCACCGAAACTTTCCGAATAGTTGTTGGGTCAAAATCTCAATGAATTTCGTGACCGATAATTTCAGTAAGTTCGTCGGTCGGTCACGCTTAGCGTGTGAAATATTAAACTCGCCGAAATTTCAGTATGTGTCTGTAGTCACCCTCTGCGCGTGAAACATTGACACTTGTTTAATAGCCGCTGCCTCTATATTTCGGCACGGTCCGTTTCTCACGCTTTCTTTGTGCAATACAGGGAGTGAGACTCGAGCTCAGGACGCTCGACCGGAGGAGCCTGTTATCCGATGTGACTCGGACATTTCGCGAGAACGGCCTATCTGTCACGCGTGCGGAGGTTTTGACACGTGGCGACACTGCACTCAATGTCTTCTATGTCACGGATGCAGCCGGCAACCCGGCCGTCGAACCGAGGATCATAGACTCTGTTCGGGAGAGAATCGGTTTAACGAACCTCCTGGTGAAGGAGGACCGTGAACATGGCATAGGCAAGGCAACGGCGCCTGGGGACCCCGGACTGTTCTCGCTGGTCAGGCGAAACCTGTACAACTTGGGACTCATCAGGTCTTGCTCCTAGTTTGGTTACACTAGGCACGTGTGACTTATTCACCCACGTACAAATCCTGTTTACATGTGCTATGCCGCACGTGTTCGCCTGTCTTCTCTATCTCTCTATTGTTTTGTACATAAAAAGGGGATGGGAAACATTAGGGAGGTGGGGACACGTGGGACGTTGTGGGGCAAAGGAGTTGTGCCCTTTGAATGGATGTATACACGTACTCCATACGTTACTGTACATAGAAAAATTTGTTGGTTGAGATTAATGATAGATGATGGATCCTCGTGTTTTTATTTCATTTTTATGCCCATGCCCTACTACCCAGTGTATGAAAAATCGTATCCGAACTGTTAATCGGATATGGGACTGAAACCTGCCTTTCAATCGGGCCTCATTTGTAAATTGGTCGGTTCAATTGGTTTAATTGGATAAGTGTTGGGCGGTAAAAAAAATATTATAAAATAAAAAAATCTAATAAAATATAAAAAATACATTTAAACATGATTCAACAAGGTAAAATCAATTGAAGTTGAAAATTAATGAAAAATAGAATTTAAAGAAAAGGTTGTATGCAATGAGATACAAAGTGATTATATTTACTTACAACCAATGGTTTAAAAAACGGATCGGTGATTCGGATCGGGTTTCCAAAAAACCGATCCGGATCGGCGAATCGGCCATCCAGATCGGAAATCGGGTGAATTGCTCAGAATAAAGCTTAAAAAAAATTCG